CATGCATTACTCCAAAATTTAACATCTCTTTGTTTCTATAAGTCAAAAACAAGATTTGAAATTATTATTTTGTCAACAACAAGATTTGAAAAATAAAAATTGGAAACATATAAATCTCCATTTTCTTTTATTTTTGAAAGTTATAATATATAACCTAACTAAATCGAAATCAAATGAACCAATCGGCCAATTCAATTCATATTTTCTGAAAAAAATAAGAACTTTGCGGAAGAGAGTCTATGTTTGTATTTATATTTGAATTAAAAAAAATACGTATCTCAAATAATCTCTTAAAAATTTACAATCACAAATGCTAGAAAATACAAATCTAAATGTACTAAAACCAATAACCTCTTTGATAAAGTAGACAATCAACTACCTCTGATAATTGTATAAACAATTCACTGAACTTGAACACAAAAATGAATAATACAAGAATCCAATGTTATTCTTTAATGTTCTAGTCGAATTGAACAAAAATGATACAAAAATACTATAAACCACTAAGAAAAAAGAATAGAGATTATAGTATATATAATATTAAAAGCTCAAGGTGTAGTTACAGGTTCTTGAAGGGCAAGAGGAATGGCTGGTCTCCAAGTTGTTCCCTCAGGACTATCCATCAAAGCGATCCCAACACTTGCCAAATCTTTCCTAATTGCATCAGATCTTTCGTATTCTTTATTTTTCCTTGCGTCTGTTCTCTCTTGCACTCTCTGCAACACATCTTCCTCTTCTAGTCCAGCTCGCTTTAGTGCTTTCTCTTTTAGCTGCTCAAGAACCTACGGATTGGAGCAAACGGAACAGTTTAATACCAAACAAAAAAGTGGAGCAACAGAGTAAAAGGGTTTGGTCATGGCCCAACTAGCTCGGGGCGGGTTTAGGCTTTATATGGGCCGAGAAATTTGGAAGCTGTACCTCTGAGTAACTTGTGGGCATAAGCCCTAAGATAGTAAGAACATCTCTGATTGTTGTTTCCAGAGCCTTAAGTGACTCTTCTCTTCTTGCTTGCTTCTTTCCCTGGAATCAGAATGATCAACTATATTATGAACTGGTTTTCGAGACATATTTATGAACGTAAAAGCAGACGTTATTTACCTTTCGGGTGTGAATGATATCGTTGATAGTTTTCAAAGGTTCTGACATTGCAGCCAGGGTTACGGGTGTGAGGAGATCATCAGACATTGAGGCCACAAATTCACTATGGAATGTGTTGATGGTTGTCAAAGTGTCTGAAGGAACAGAATCATTGCCAAATGTCGAATCTTTCTCGCCTAAAAGGCTTTCACAGTCGTGCAACGTCTGTCAATAAGCAAATGAGCATCTTCAACGGATTATAGTGAACGCACAAAAATTTCCGATAGCCTAGTGAAACATCTTAGGCTAAAGAAACAAGAGAGGTACTCCAAAAATGCAATCTTTCTTCCGACAAAAAGCTATATGAGGGATTACCTGATAAATATAAAAAATGCGTTCCGAAGCACTCTCGAGGAGGAAATCCGAGTAATTGATAGGAGATCGATAGTGAGTTCCCATTAGAAAAAGTCTCAGAGCAAGAGGATGATAAAGGTCTATAACCTGCTACGTTTGCAAACACGACATTTAGACATAAATGTTGGATATAAGAAGAAGATTAGCAAAACTGACAAATTTACCTGTCTGATTGTGAAGAAATTCCCCAAGGATTTTGACATCTTCTCAGAGTCAACAGTAACAAAACCATTATGGATCCAATAGCTGATGTTGCTGCTATCACAAGCAGCACAACTCTGAGCAATTTCATTTTCATGGTGAGGGAACACAAGATCCATTCCTCCACCATGTATGTCAAAACTATAACCGAGATAAGCTGCGCTCATCGCACTGCATTCTATGTGCCAACCGGGCCTTCCTCTTCCCCATGGACTCTCCCAAAAGGGTTCCCCTTCTTTTGCAGTCTGCTCAAAATTTCAAAAGTCTTTTAAGACTTAAAATGAGAAAACAAGTGGGCTAAAACGGAATTAAAATGCGTACTTTCCACAGAGCAAAATCTGCAGGATGTTTCTTCCTTGTGTCTACTGCAACTCTCTCACCTGCACGGTTATCTTCCAATTTTCGCCCAGACAATTTTCCATATGTTGGAAATTTGTCGACTGAGAAGTAAATGTCTCCATCCACTTTGTAGGCATAACCATTATCAAGAATCTGAAATGGAAGACATCGCATATGAATATATTTTCAGTGATGTTTGAAGAACCAAGTGAAGTAAATTTAAAACCTGCTTGATCAGGTCAACGATTTGAGGTATATGATCTGAGACGAGTGGTTGGACAGAAGGATCTAAACATTGAAGCTGTTCCATATCTCGCTTAAATTCCTCACAGAATCGTCTACTCAAACTGATTGGATCTTCCCCTAATTCATTCGCTCGGGCAATTATCTACAAGATTTGAAATTTCATGATTCAATTGCATATGCAGCCAAAAAAACTAGTCGCAGGCAGCTTCAAGAATTAAAAAAATGAAAGTCTCCCTAACAAAATCTAGTCAGAGATAGACTGAGAAAACAGAAAAGATTAGTGAAATCCTTGTAGTATAATACAGCGAATATCTAGTAGGGAAAATGACAATTAGTTCTATGCTTCGAGCTGAATACACACACTAATTGTCTGAGTAAAGGTTGATCAAAGTTTGTGACACAAAAGTAGGCGAACGATCATAGCAATCAAACAGGCATATGTAAAAGCGTAGACACAGACACAACGGATAAAACTAAGTGAAATCTTCCTTAACAAAGCCAGATACTGATATTCTCCATTTTCACATATCATAGTAAAACATCTCCACCACCCTCAACACCCATTATAATAGCTTTGTAAGTTGAAAAATTCAAATATTGCAATTTTGATGACATTAAGATCCACCCTTTTACACGCCTCACACAAGTAGTGAGATGGAATAAAAATATCGGAGACCTGACAATAAGATCTAACAGCTTCAAATTTCTCGACTTCTCAATCAATTCTTTTTGCAATTAGGAGTATCCTGTTTCTTACAGATCAGAAATGTAGCTGCCGAGAAAAGAAATAACTTAAACGCGGTCCAGGAATGCTGTA